ACATGGAGGAAAATACACAGCTAATGGATACTAATGAGAACTTCACAACAGGAACACAGTGTTAAAGCCAAATATTATTGTACTGTATTAAACACCAGTGTCTCATACAAATGTTTTTATTTTCCAGTGTTGCACTGTAGATGTAACACTGGTAGTATAATAACTTTACTAACCTAGAAAACTAGATTACAAGCACTCAAAATAAAAATAATTATCCGAGTATGTGTTTATTTACCTCATAATTGCCCTAACATGCCGAACCTCGGTTATTTTGGAAACATTAAATTTATGGTTTATTTTAAAAAAACAAAGTCGTTATTATATTAATACTTTACAGCTCACAGGGTCAGTACATATCGCTACTTCCCTCAAGTCTACAACATATTCAAATGCAGCGAAATATAAACCAACGCAAATATTCCAGTGGTCGCCAAAGCCGTTTGAAATGTTCGTTACTCATCTGTCTTCTCGCTAACTTCAGTCCAGCGGCGGGAAATTTGTGGGTGGAGTTTCGCAAATGAACACTTGTTGTGTTACGTTCATGTTCCAAGTAAAGAGTTGGAATTTATGCGTTGGAATTAAAGACACATTGTTTTAAGTATTAAAATCAACTCAAACATTTTTACAGTCGGAAAAAAAACATGAAGGATTTAACTCTGACATTTAATGCTGAAAGACTGACAATTTTTATTTTGTGTCTATGAATTTTTTCATATCATAATATAACACAACATCAATTTTTCATCACACATCGTGAATTGTTCATTACAACATAACATTTTCATATGACACCGTTTAAATTAGTTTTTCTAACTTACCGCCGTGCTGCAGCAAACATATTATAGAGTTTAGGTGCATTGTCTGTTCTAATATAGTCACTTTTTTGTGTGGTTCTGTTTTTTTTTATATAATCTAATTATCTAAGATAATATAATACAGTGTAGAATATAATACAGGTTAGTCTGGTCTAATCTATTTTTGTCCACTGAAGTAGTTTATAATAATGTAGTCTAGTTTATTTTCTCTCGTCCTTTTCAGTTCATTCTAGTTCAATCCAATCTAATCTATTCTTGTCTTGTTTAATATGTTTTAATCTAATCCACTCTAGTATTGTTTTATCCCATCGATTCCAGTCTATTCCCTTCTAGTTTAATCTAATCTGCGGTTGTCATGTCTCTTCTGGTCAAGTCTAGT